CTGACGCCGACAAACTCACCACGGTTTTGTCGGCGTCCATATAAGCGAAGCCGCAGCAAGCAGAAATCAGTTCGAGAAGAGATGCAGTTGAGTTCGAGTTGAGTTCGAGACAGTTCCCAGAGTCAGTCTCCAGTTGAAGCAAGCCTCGCAGATAGCTGACCAAGATTCACGCAAATTCCGGACTCCTCTTCAATCCAAGAGCAATTATTTTGAAGAGCGACTTAGATCCAGACCACCAAAATAAGTTTTTTCCGACTTTCGTCCAAAGACACACCGAAAAACCAATTTCTTAAAGAGCAAACAACTTGAAGCGTTAAAACTCGCCTAACGGAAAACAACGTGTCACAATCCATAGAACGGGTCGGGAAATAGACTCAGTCCTATGTATCGAACAACTAGACATAAAGTTTGTTATCTTTTTCTTTGATATCTTGAACTTTTGAGTTTTCATTATTATTTTCTTTTATGCATATTTGTGTGGTGTCACCCCCGTTGAACCCGATTTGCATTACGGCCCCACCTACTGATTGTTCTCGTCTGCCTAAGATCAATTCACAACGTGGGCAAGCAGACTGGAGATCAATGCAGTTACTTTGGTAACCAGGCGTTGGAAGCGAGTTGGGAACGACGAGGCTGATGTCAAATCTAACCAGATTCCCACCCGAATCACCAAAAGGTTAGAACGTCACATTTGGGTGCCGCGACCGATACCAAGCCAGTTGGTCGTCACAGGACGAGACAACACGACTGACGCGACAGGCGGACGTCACGTTTGGAGCGGTGACACTCGAACGGAGCAGCGGGGAGCGAACAGCTGGCGCCGCGGCAAGGACGTCACAGTTGGTGCCGTGGTAGACCAGGATAGGACGTCACAGTTGGCGCTGCGACCAGGGGACGACGTCACAATGTCCGTCTGATGCCAGATAAAAAAAACCATGTACTCTCGTCTTTATATCTTGCTGCAAACGTTTTCTAAATTTTCTGATGATATTTGAACAAATCTTTTCTGATATTTTCGTCCATTCTGCAATGCTTACATGTTCTAATTCCTGAAGTTTTTTTACGTGACCGACGAAACTTTCTATTCTTGACATAGTTCTTCAATAGGATTCAAGGCAGGACTTATTGAAGACTATGGCAGAACTGGAATCGTCTTTTTCTGAAGCCACAAAATCACAGATTTAGACGTATGTGTGGGATCATTATCTCGCTGGAATATAAATGTCCAACCTAGATGAAGATTTTGCGCTAATAGTGGGAGATTTTCATCCATAATTTTGATATACTCTGCAGATTTCATTATTCTTCTTATTTCAATTAATTGTCCAGTCCCCCTTGATGTAAAAGAACCCCCAAAACATAATTGAGCCGCCACAATGTTTTAATGTTGTACTCTATTTGGGGGAAAGAAAGCCTCACCTTTCTTGCGCCAAATCTTCTGCACATCTTAATGTCCAAAAAGCTCAGTTTTTATTTCATCACTCCATAGTACTTGTTCCCAAAAGGCATTTTCTTTTTTGTCCAAGAACATTTTAGTAAAATTAAACCGAGCAACAATGTGACATAATTTGTGAAGAGGGGTTCGTCGCGGTCGCTTTCCATATAAACCATTTCTATTTAAAAAACGTTGCATTGTACGAGTTCTTACGCTGATATCCATCGTATCCAAACTTTTGGCGATGTCTTTCAAAACAGGTATTGGGTTTATATTAACCTCACGGCAGGGTTTTCGTGTAGTTCTCCGTGACAATTTGGGTTTTCTGCCACGCCCAGTTAAGTTCTCTGTTGTACCAAACTGTTTAAAAATCTTTATAATGGACTGTACCGTAGATCCCGGGATAGCTAACCGGTTTGAAATAGTGCTGTAACTATTTCCCGGCTTATGGAAGTCAATGACTCTCTGTCGCAAGTCAACGCTAAGCTCCTTTGTCTTCCTCATCTTGATGTTAACGTAAGAACAACAATGGTGCCACTCTACGCACATCATGATGTTCTTTGCTGGAATTATTTCAAATATTCTGCAGTATGAATAATCTATAAGGCGTCACCGATAAAATAATTATGTAAATTTCTTTTACTTACACGAATCAATAACTATTTACATTATTCGGATTAATGTCCTCATCTTTGTCGCCATATTTATTAGAACGCTCCGGCCTTCAGGTGGTTGGAATGTCGAACTGAACCCTTTATTTCAATCGCTGTTCTAGTTCCACATGACATGTCAAAAGGATGTCAGTTATCAGCTGTTAATTCCACTCTCCAAGATCTGTACTGCCTTAACCGGGTATTGAACTCATATTCTTTGGGTCCTTTCACTGAATCTAACCAACGCTTTTATCCACTGTGCCATGTGTCCTTCGAGACAATATCCCGAATAATGTAAATAGTATACATAATACCTCATCTCAGAAATATAGACAGCTACTGACGAATCAATCCACGTAAAGCGATAATTTCTACTGTATGAATAATTTAATCTTTTCTATTTTACTTAATTCGCCTGTCAAATTTATTGTATTTAACCTGTTTTTCTGAAATTTGAATTTTATATTTTTTTTTTGGCATCATACCGGGTATTAGACTCTGAGAAATGGATAAAAAAATATTCAAAGTCGAAAGGTGTCGAAATAATTTCGTAGTTGACTGTATATATAATGGGATGGGCGACACTTTCTTGATTCTTGATATTGCCTGTGATTAGGTGATCCAATTTCTTTTCATTTATAGACTCCACGGATACTCAGATATCCCAATATATTTTATCACATGAACTTTTGTCTTTATTTCATCCTAAACTAAGGAAGCCAAAGCGAGCATTTGCTCCCGACAAAACTCGTGTATAAATTTCCACTTGCTATCATCATGTTTACATAAATCAATAGAATGGATTCGAATGAAATAACTATAAATTTTATCTTAATTAAAAAAAAAATCTCCAAAATTTTGATTAAAGTAATAAATAAATAAGTAAAGGACCATTTTAAAGAACAAAAAAAATTAAAAAATACAAAGGCACACACACACACACACACACACACATATATATATATATATATATATATATATATATATATATATATATATATATATGAACACACACACACACACACACATATATATATATATGAAGAAATATAGTTTTAAGGTGTGTTATATTTATGAGATAAAGCGATCAATATCAGAGATAAAACATTGAAGTCAACACTCAGAGGCGACAGGCTGTTTTATGTTGGACGCAATCGTTATATATATATATATATATATACTTACACTCTCTCTAAATTTTATTTTTTAGTTCCGAGTTGTTTTTTTCTGTTTTCTTTTTTGAATTTTAGGTCTGATGAATTGGATCGTATTTACGATTCCAATGGAATAAATTGTGACCATGGAATATTAGTGTTTAAGTTTTTATTTTTTATTATTTTATATATATATATATATATATATATATATATATATATATGTATGTGTGTGTGTGAAAAGTGTATATAAATATATATATGTATAATTATCTATATATTATATGCGCGGTACTTATTAGAAAGTGCTCAATATCAGAGATAGAGCTAACATATTTGGTTGGATAGATGTGAGTTTGTGACCCTGGGTTTCACATTTTAGCGATCGTCAGACAAAATGATTAATTTTTAAAAAAATTTGGGTTTATAAAAATTGCGTGTATATGTGTGTGTGTGTGTGTGTGTTTGAGAGAGAGAGCGAGAGAGAGAGAGAAATAAGTATATGTAGGATTAAATGTGTACAAGATTACACATATTCGCCAGGAATTCGAACTCAGTCTCTCGTTTCCTTGATCCATGTCACTATCCATTGACCAACCTTGCCGAAGCAGATCCGTTCACTTTGTTGAATGAATAGTAATGGACGCCTCATAATACCATTGAAATCATGAGACGTTTTAGAATGTGACTTTCTCATTGGCTATAATTTAAGTTCCACTATTTTGACCCAGGCAAATGCAAAGTGCGCACAATTGGATAAATAAATAAAACCGAAGGGGGATCAGTGGAAATCGACTGTTTGTGACAGTCGTGATTTTCATTAAATTTAGAACAAAACGAAATCGTAGGGCCTATATTCCTATTACCATTGCTGAAAAGCAGATGCTATCTGTTTATGTAAGAAATAGTAATCCTAGCCCCAAAATATCATTGAATTCATGAGAAATTTTAGAATGTAACTGTCCCCATAGACGGTGATCAACGTTCCTTCTTTTTGACCCAGTCAAATACAAAGGGCACACGACTGCATAAAGGAATACACCGCAGGGGATCAGGAGAAATCAACCAGCGTGTCACAGTCGTGATTTTTCTTAAAGGCAGCAGAAATGAAATCGCAAAGCCTATATTCCTATTTGGATTCCTTACAAACAAATACGATCCGTTAAATAAATTGTAAACCTAACAACAAAATATTGAACTCATTACATGTGACTTTCTCATAGGCGATGATACTTACTTCATTTTGACCCAGGCAAATGCTAGGAGCGGACAAATGAATAAAGGAATAATCTGCAGTGGCTCAGGAGAAATCTACAGTATGTGAAAGTCGTGATTTTCTTTAAATTCGGAAGAAAGGAAATAAGAAAGCTCTGATCTCATTTCGATTGCCGAAAAGCAGATCCGATCTTTTTGGTGAATAAATAGTAATTCTCGCCCCAAAATATCATTGTATTCATGAGAAGTTTTAGACTGTGACTTTCTCATAAGCGATGATCTCACTTCCGCCATTTTGGCTTAGTCACATGCAATCAGCGCACAAGTGCATACCTGAAGAAACCGCAGGGGAATCCATGGAAGTCGACAGTTTGTGACAGTCGTTATTTTATTAAATGCAGAAGTAACTACATTGGAAAGCATATAGCCCTATTTCAGTTGCCGAAAAGCAGAGCAGATCTCTTTATTGAATCAGTAGTAATCCTCGCCCCAAACTATCATTGTATTTATGAGAGGTTTTAGGCTGTGACATTCTCGTAGACGATGATCTCATTTCCTCCATTTTCCCACAGTCAAATGCAACGAGCGAACAGCTTCAGAAATCGACAGTTTGTGATTGTCGTGATTTTTCTTACAGCCAGCACAACCAAAACCAAAAAAAGACTATACTTCTATATCCATTTGCCGAAAAACTGATCTGATTCGTTTGTTGAATCAACGGTCATCCTCGCCTCAAAATGTCATTGAATTAATCTGAAATTTTAGACGGTGACTTTCTCAAAGGCCATGATCTCAGTTCCTTCATTTTTACCCAATCAAACGCAATGAACGCGCAATTGTATAAATAAGGGACCCGGAGGACCGACGGTTTGTGACAGTTTTTCTTAAAGTCAGCGGAAATCGCAAATCCTATATGCCTATTTAGATTCCTTAAAAAAACTGATCCGATCTGTTCGTTGAATCAATTCTAATCCACGCCCTCAAAATATCATTGAATTAATCTGATATTTTAGACTGTGACATTCTCAAAATCCATGATTTTCATTCTGTCCTAGGCAAGTGCAAGGTGCGCGCAAATGTATCAATAAATAAATAAACCGCAGGGCGTGAAAGTCGTGATTTTCCTTAGATTCGGAAGAAACGAAATCACAAACCCTATCCTATTTTGATTGCCGGAAAGCAGATCTGATCTTTTTGGTGAATAAATCGACGGGCAAGCGTCGGTTTGGGAACAGTTGGGATTTTCTTAAAGTTAGCAGAAATGATGTCTCAAGGGCTATTCTCCTAATTCGATTGCCAGAAAAGCAGACCAACTCTTTATTGTTGAATAAATAATAAACCCAGCAACAAAATATTGAATTCATGAGATATTTGAGACTGCGAATTTCTCGTAAGCGATAACCTTACTTTCTCTATTTTGACCTTGTCAAATACAAGGAGCGCCCAACTACATAAATGAATAAATCCAAGAGGACCCTTAGAAATCGATATTTTGTGACAGTCGTTATTTTCTTTAAATACAGTCGAAACGAAATCCCAATGCCTATACTCCATTTTTGATTGCCGAAAATCATATTCGATCAGTTTGTTAACTATATAGTAATCGATGTCCCAAAATTTTTTTGAACTCATGACAAGTTTTACACTGATACTTTCTCATCGGCGATGACCTCTGCTCATTTACTGTTGTGGATTCCGAGATGAATTCGGTCTCCAAGGAATGACAAATGCAATAATTAAATATAAGAAATAAAATGTATTTAACCAATCATACAAAGAGTAATACTGTTAGTAAGTTCAGAAACACGGTTAGTAGCAAATACAGATAGATATATACAGTCTCGAAGTAGGACTTCCTTAGAGTCTACGTGCTTGTAACTGACTTCTACAAGAGGTTAACTCACACTATCTCCGTTCGTATATTCTCTCTCTCTCTCTCCCTCTCTCTCTCTCTCTCTCTCCGTATACCCTCTCTCTCCGACTATCCTCACTGGCTGTAACTCTGGGTATTCAACGGCAGCCGTCAAAGTAACACTGGTAGAGTCCACTTATATGAAAAAGGGAGGACCCCATAACATTTACATTGACCCTGCCTAATTCTAGAAGAGTACAACTGAATAAATATAGAATTGACACTTTGTGGCCATCGTGATTTCTTTTAAAGTCAACTGAAACGAAAACGCATATCCTAACAAAATTTAAACTATGAACCTGTTTATATTTTGTCATTTTGCCGTTTTATTTTTCTCAAGCGCAGTCATTACATCAAACGTATAAGCAAAATTAACACTTTTTTCCGAAATAGTCATTTTCTCGCCAGCATGACAAATTTTAACAATAACCAGAAATGAAGAATAACATTCAATGAAATTAACATAAAATAAGTTTATATCAATTATTTGGTTGAAATATATACACCTTTTACGATTCAATCTGTTTCACATAGACAAGTCAGAAATTCTCGTTTAAATCAATCAATTCTTTGATTTATGGACAATTTTACTTTTACTTTCCTTGAGAATATAACATTAACATTTGTAGTAAAAACTAAATTCGACAATTATCACAAAATCGATACAATAATTCATGAGACTTTAAAACAGCAACTTCCGGATGGTTCAATTGCTGTCTCTTACTTTTGAGAAAATCATATATAATGTAACTCGCAATTACATATATAATTATACCTTAGGCGATCAGTAGAAATTGATTGTTTGTGACGGTCATTATTTCATTAAGTGGAAATGCAATCGCCAATATTAACGTCTGATTAGCAACGACAGAATTACTGTCTATAGATCTTTGACGGATTTCTTTTTAATATATTTTCTGTTTATACGTTATTTTTTTATAAACAGAAAATCTATTAAAATAATTGTAGGACTTAATCCATTTCTTTATATGTTGTCATTGTTTACTTTAGGATATTTTTTTCGTGAGCAGAAATTTGAAATTGCTAACCAGACACTGCTCTGTAGCTGAATGGTACAGCACGTCAGGCTAAATGTACGGTTTCCGTAAAGGGATATAAGTTCGAATCCTCTCAGAGAACGCATAGTTTCTACGAAATTTCTCGAATATTAAAGCCGGTAAATATAATTTATACACTCTAATTAAAAAAAGAGCTTTTACTTAAATAAACTTTATCGATAAAAAAATAACATATAAATATATATATATATATATATATATATATATATATATATATATATATATATATATATATGTGTGTGTTTGTGTGTGTGTGTATGTAGAAATTATTATTTATCTGAAGGAGTGTATCTGTGACGAAACAAAATGATTTTATCAAGGCAAAGTGGACAAAACTTGTCGATAAGTATACATTTCCCTCTTCTCGTTTTGTTCGTTCATATATATAAATATATATATATATGTGTGTGTGTGTGTGTGTGTGTGTGTGTGTGTGTGTGTGAAGAAATATAGTCTTAAGGTGTGCTATATTTATGGGATAAAGTGCTCAATATCAGAGATAGAGCGTGTGTAAATATAAAGATGAACATAGAAGTCAGCACTTAGAGACGACAGTCTGTTTCATGCTAGACTCGCATATATATATATACGTATTAAAGGAGCTCTCTATAGGGGCATTATTTTGAGCACTTCTTGAGGATGTAACCCTGTTATATGCTTGATGTATGATAGGACTCCAGCACATTTTAGTCACATTGATCGCAATGCACTGGCTGACATACTGCGAAACTATTCGATGCAGTGTGGTAGCATTTGAAAAGTTTCGCCAGGGAAATTTCCGACCATGCCCGTGTAAAGACAAGCGGGGGACATTATTAACATTTCTTATGACTTGCTGTATTGAGGTACAACGATGACCTTCTATATGAACATTTTACCTTGTTTTGGTGTAAACTTGGACAAGTATTTTTGGATTATATCTTCGATGGTACTTTTAACAAGTTCTACCGTAAACTTTAATGTTAACACATCAGAAACGAAGGATTTGTGGACATGTGTTTATATGGACGTTTGCACTTGTTTTGGTCTGAGGAAGCCGCCCCCCCCGCCACAAAATCTGTAGAATTATTTTTGATACGCACTCTACTTATATATCTTATTCGGTTCATTATCTATCTATCTATCTATCTATCTATCTATCTATCTATCTATCTCTATATATATATATCAGCCTGTTCATATCTATCTATCTATCTATCTATCTATCTATCTATCTATCTATCTATCTATCTATGTTGTCCGGCGCATACACATTTATTAATATGATTGACTTTAAGAAATAACTTTCTACAGATTCCCCTTTATCCTTTATGTTTCCTGAAGTTCATAAGACTGAGGCATTAACAATCATGGGAGTTTCTTTCTCTCTTTCAGTTTTTTAGCGATTTGATCGTGAAAAGGCCGTAACCTGATAGATCTTGTGCCTTATGTTGCCGTGTCGACTAATACAATTGAATGAACAGGAGATTACGTTTTTTATTTCCGCGTGTTCCTATTTTGTCTCAGTGGAGACCGTCTTCTTCGTCGCTCCGAGGTTATTTTCCCAAATCAGAGTGTTTTTGTCAGATTACTGTCTTCCAAAAGGTCAAGAAAAAAGAAGTTGTGTCTTTTGTAGTAGATTCTGAATTGTGGTCCTGCCAGTGTCTAAAACCTAGTGATAAAATATATCCAGTTCGTTTTAATACGGCGCAGAGAGATCGTTAAAGGATTAATACGCCAGTGGAAAAATGATTTTTCGATATACGACCCAGGAATCATGACGCTATAGAAGTTGGACAGCATAAAATAAAATAGAAACACAGATAAATTAAGCTACAGATGTACTGATAAGTTAGAAACAACAATAAAAATAAATAAAATTTCAAAACTAACGTGCAACAAAACATTGTTAACTGTGATATATACAACTGTAGAAATAAAAGTAGTTGTCCATTAGATGGAGTTTGCAAAACTGAAGCAGTAATTTACAAAAAAGAAATAATATATACAAATGGTCAGAAAATAATATACATAGGATATGTTGAAGGTAAACTTAAGAAGAGGTGGCATAATAACAAGTAATCTTTTAAGCTAGAAAATCTTAAGAATTCTACTAGACTAGCCAATCATGTGTGGAAATTAAAGGAAAAAATAAAAATAATCTGATTGTAAGCAGGTAATTGTTTTAAAAATCACACCTTCCAACAATCATAGTATTATCTGCAACCTTTGTCAACAAGAAAAATTACCTGTAATTTCCAGTCTAAAAAAATGTTCTGAATGAGAGATCAGAAATTATGAGCCATTGTATATATATACTAGATAATTCCATTTGAGTTCATATGAAGTTAAATGAAAAGCAAGTGTATATATTTCATTTACCACCACCATCAATATATTTCCAATATACTTGCTTTTTCCTCCACCTCACCTTCTACCACACCTCACGTCTTGCGCTCATTGAAATATTTCTAAATAATATAGCGTTCATATAATAGCGTTAGGAAACCAATTGGCTGAAATCAGTTACTTGTTTGGATAAGTCTTGTTCTTATGTACAGCGTCTTTGTCATGTTGTATTGATAATGTTATATTTATGAATATGTCCTGAAGATGGTTTATTAGACCGAAACGTCCGACGTTGACATATTAACATTAAAACAGCATAATTGTATATAAGGATTTTTGTTTTGTTTTTTCCGTATGTATTTTTCTTCATACTGTCGGACCTATATCCATATATTATATATATATATATATATATATATATATATATATATATATATATATATATATATATATATACATATATCCATGTCATATATATATATATATATATATATATATATGTGACTAAAATGACAATAAGGAAAGTAGTAATGTAGAGAAACGCTATTTTCATATTGTTAACTGAAAATAACGTCAGTATATATCACGCGTGGAGAATATTGTCATTATATCTGTGTTGATGTATTCAATCATTTTCTTTTGATTTTATGAATCTGTTGTGTATATTTGTAAGCGTAGTCATTTTGTTAAGAAAGGTGAAATGGGAAAAAAACCTGGGCGTAGATTAATATTTGGGTAATATTTCTCTACATTCCAGTCGCTAGGAACATTCTGTTTTTTTTTTAATTTTTTATTTTTATTAGTTACCTTTTTCAATTAAATTCATTTCGTATTTTGCTTTAATAAAGTCCACATTAGAAGAAACGCGTCAGCAATTACTAGTTTTCCTATTGTCATTTTTATTCATAAATATTGTCTTCTCTACTGCTTAAATCGGAAAAAAATTTTCATATATATATATATATATAGTAAAGACATATTTTATGTTTAACGTTGTTATTTTAGATACAAATATTTGCAAATCTCGATAAACAGTGTTCTTGACAGGTTTCTGAAGGCATCCGATCGGTCGAAATTTTCGTAAAATGACGGTTCCGTATAGGATGCAGGTTCGAACTTGTCAAAGAACGAATATTTTCGTCAGCGAAAATTTTCGGACATTCAGGCCGGTAAATGTTATTTAATACTGTTTATCATAAACAGAGCATTTGCTTAAATACTTGTATCTATAAAATAACAACGTTAAACATAAAATATGTCTTTAATAAATAAATTGTCGGACCTTGTCCATTTCTTAATATATATATATATATAATATTATCAGATAACATTAAACCATATCAGTTGAAACCATTTTCTTCTGTATTATCATATACCGGATTTTACATGCATGTACGCACAAACCTGAAGATACCGAGTTCGATGTTGTATTGGGATAATGAAAGATACCTTCCAAAATCTAAGCAAAGTATTATGAAACAGTTAAACATCGTTAGAATCAAAGAAATGGGAGCAAAATACTGGCATGTAATAATGGCCGTAACTACAGCAGAATCTCCTCACATATTAAGAAACTGAAGATGTGATTCTCCTGAAGAATGTTCAGATTAACATGGAAGGAGTTTGTAAATAGCGAGAAAATCCTAACGAAAATAGAAGCAAAAATGGATACTTATGTCCAGAATCAGAAAGCGAAGATCTGAAACATTATGGAAAGCAGGGGGCACCTCGAAGCGCTGTAATGGTTAGCAAGTTTGTCTCAATAGAACAATTATGATCCTCACTTGGTGTCCCCTACTTTCAGCCTTGTACCTCATCTAAGCTATGCTTGGAAAATCACTATAATGAGGAAGGGGTGTTTTGGAAATTCGCCAACGCAGGACATATCGAAAGCAAAGGGAACACGAATAGGATATAACAATCTTATTTATGGATGGCAAGAATAGCAGTTAGAGGGACGGTAAAAAGACTTAGAGCTGCACTGAATCGGAAGTAGTGGGCGCCATTTTCTCTCATATATTGAAGGCACATGAGATATATAATAATATTAATAAAGATAATATATTTTACTCGTTTCAGTCATTTAATTTTTATAAGATTTTACTTCTTTCATTCATGTATTTTTTCTTATTTAATTTTTTCTTTGCAAATTTATTTTGACATTTTTTTTTAAATGCTTTTCTTCTACAAAATCTCTTGTCTTCCTTTCATTCCTTTTTTTCTTGCCATTTTTGGCTTATTTCATATTTCGATTTTTGTCTTTGTATTTTAAATCTGATCAGTTCTCTTTCTTTCTTTTTTGTATCTTCTTTCCACTTTTTATTTCTTTCTGCCTTTATTTCTTCTTAAATGTTTCTCTTTGTTTCTTCCTTTCTTTTTTCTTCCTTTGTCTGTTCCTTCCATTGTCTTCTTTCTTTCGTTCTTTCTTTATTTCTTTGTCTGTTCCATCCATTTTTACTTCTTTCTCTGTTTATTCCTTATTAAATTTTCTCTTTCTTTCTTTTTCTATTTCTTCCATTGTTTTCTTTATTTATTTATTTATTTCCTTCTTTCCTTTTTTTTGCTGTTCCTTCCATTTTTCTTCTTTCTCTCTTTATTCCTTACTAACCTTTCTCTTCTTTTTTCTTTCTTTCTTTTTTCTCCCTTTTGTCTATTTTTCCATTGTTTTTTCTTTCTTTCTTTCTTTCTTTCTTTCTTTCTTTCTTTCTTTCTTTCTTTCTTTGTCTGTTCCTTCCATTGTTTTCTTTCTTTCCTTCTTTCTTTTTTCTTTCTTTCTTTCTTTGTCTCGTCCTTCCATTTTTCTTATTTCGCTCTGTATTACTTACTAAATTTTCTTTTTCTTTCTTTCTTTCTTTCTTTTTCTTTCTTTCTTTTATCTTTCTTTCTTTCTTTTCTCTTTCTTTCTTTCTTTCTTTCAGTTGCAGTTTTTTTTTTAAATTTTATCTCGTGTTATTTTCTTTATCTCATTTATCTGTTATTTTTTCTTTTTATTATTTTTTCGCCTTTTTATTTTTTCAATTTTGCTTTTATTCCCTATTTTAAATTGTTATTCATTCATTCACTCATTCTTTCTTTCTCTCTCTCTCCCTCTCTTTCGTTCTTTCTTTCTTTTTTTATTTTTTATTCGACTTTCTTTCAATATAATTTTAATTTTTTAAACTATTTCATTCATTTCACTCAACATATATTTTTTCCACTCATTTGTTCTTTGCTAATATTTCCTCTCACTTCTTTTTCCGTTGTTTCCTTTATTCTCTCTTTCCTTTTTAATCAGTCCTTTTTCTCTCTTACTACGTTAATTTTCAATATTACTTTTTATCAGGGGGCAGTTTTTTCTTTCATTTTTAGCCATTTTCCCGAGTCCTTCCATTCCCAACCTCCTTTTATCGCTCCACTTGCCATTCTTTTTATCGTCTGCTTCTCATTTTTTTCCTCATCTTTTTTTATTCTACGTTTTTATTTCCTTTTCACCAAGCATCGCGTCGACCACATCCCTGTTTAAACTAGACAACCCCGCCTCCAGCATAAACACTTCGATATCGAATACAATGCATAAACAAAACGTACATCATCTGACTTAATCAGTACAGTCATCATGAACAACAGGAAAAAAATAATGGAGAAACATCAGTGCATACTATTCGCCACCATCTTGTCTGTTTAGACACAAAATCTTAAACGAACAACCAGCAATACTCACAATTCATTTTATCCATACCAAACTATTATTAACGTTTTTGTCTAATCAGTGACAGAATCTTATATACATCAGTTTATTTTATTTTTAAATCGACAAAGAGTATACAGAGGACTACGAGTTAGTGCTTTCTATTCACTAAGCACAAAACACATGTAAGTAGTGGAAGATGTTATTTAAGAAAAAAAAAACTAAGAGAAATATTCTTTTTGGCTCTACTATTCAGAAAAAAGGGATTTTTTTTATTTCCTTTTTTTATATTCTCCAATTTGATTGATTCGATTTTATTCCATGTTATGCGTGTGATTCTAATTGTCGTCTGCGGTGGAGCGGCTAGGCTTGGAATTGGCCACTTAATAAAATGATAATGATGAGAAACGTCTTCGTCAGATATATAGAAAGAGACTGCTTGTAAAGACTTTTTCTATCTATCTATCTATCTATCTATCTATCTATCTATTTATCTATCTATCTTTTTCTACTGTTCTTTTTATTTCTCTCAACACACACAGACTCACGCAACCATCCGCAAACACACACACACATAGACAATAGACAACATAGTTCACTCTTACCAAATCTGATTACTAATACTTCTACTTCTTTGTATTATATTTCTGTTGTAATATATCTTTGTATTCCATACCTGTGTTCGTGTTATTCTTTCATTGGTTCTAACATTGGACCATCACCGTGGTACAAGGAACTTGGACCATAACATAACTGGAATAGGGAAGGGAGTTCCACAGGCGAGAGGAGTGAGACATGAAGCTGTTGGAGTAGAAGAGACGGCTACATTTAGGAGTTTTGACAGTGAAAGCGTGAGATCGGGATGCCAGCCTCGTAGGGCGCTTGAACTCATGAAGTCTGGGAACCAGTGAATGCCGCTCCTCGTAGCAATTACCATGAAAGTATTTGTAAAACAGACAGAGAGAGGCGATGGTGCGTCTGTGAGAAAGTGTCTGTAGACGAGATGCCAGATCAGGACCAATTATATTGCATATGTAAATTTTGCCACGCAAAAAAACATCGTTTATAGAATTAATAATATTCAATGCATTTCGTCGTCAGCACCGAGGTAGAAAATATTAAAAAGGCTAAATTTGTGAGCATGGTCATCAAAAATAAATAATGCCTTATGTATTCACAAGAGTTATATTGTCTTGTGCGCTAATAGAAAATACGGAAGAATGTTTTAAAACTTTTTGTACAGATCTTCCTGAAACAAAGGTACTTTTTTTAGAATCGAAAAATTTTGATCTTTTATCATTTTAGAGGGTGAGGTCATTGGCATAATATACGTTTATAATCTAGAGGATCCCTGATATGTATTGTTTCAGTAAGTACCTGAATTCTTGTACTGTCCTCTGCCCTTATAATATTCAGAACGGGCCAAAAATGGATTATTTTTGTGATATATGGGTAGGAGTGGCCCAGTTCCCATTTTACCGTCTCGATCTGGTCCATTAGCGTCTCTGAGTTCTTTTTGGTAATACGTTATGTTCCACCTTCCAATCATTTTCTCACGAACAAAACGTTGCAAGTCTCTCTATCGCTATTTCCATGAAAAGTTCTCAGACGAACTACATTACTTACTTTTGTTTGTTCTAACCTTCACGGCTAAGACCCATCATGCTACAGACATTGTAGCGTGCCGCCCTCATTCCTTTTGTATTTCATTGGTGGGATCTAGGTTCCACTTGAGCAGTTTTTTTCCCGCTAACCGCTGTTTTGTTGAATTGAATCCCAAGAGGATGCTTTCTTGATCACTACAATCTTAACCGCTTCAAATCTAGTGTTAACCATCATCTTCCCTACATATCAGCAAAAACTTTGCCATTTTTTTAGATTGTAAGAATACATTTGGAGATAATAATTTTTAAATGTGTAGTGATAGTTTTTTTTTCTTCAAAAATTTATTTCTGGTAATAATTTTTTTACAAAGTATTTCTATTAAAACCTATTTGTTACACTTACATAGTGATTTTTACCTCAGTTTCAGGGTTAACTATTTCCCCATAACTGGGACCCTAACAGGTGCTACCACCCCCGGGTCAGGGTGGACCTGGGAACACCATCAATTAAGAGGTGGTTCCACGCTCCTCAAAAACTCCTGATCAGAGACCTTGCTGTTGGACATAATTTATCGTCTTACCCTGGACGTGGATGTAGTTTATCGTCTTACCCTGGACGCATATGTAATTTATCGTCATACCCTAGACGCGGGTGTAGTTTATCGTCATACCCAGGACGAAGAGAAAGGCTGGTTTGTTTTCACCGAAAGTGCTTCCGTCGTATATGATGACATTGTTATTCTTGAGCGCAGTCATTCTATCAGTAGAGAGGCCCTGGTACTTCAGTTTCTGTTATTAGGGTGTGTGAATGTGGTTAGAATAAAGGAAATGTATGATTGAAATAAGTCGAAAACCTGGACAAAGTATACATCGGAGCAACAGATTGTATCTTCATAAAGAAAATATGACTCATTACAGGAATCGAAGCGAGCAGATATGGTGGCGTTGTTATCCTCGAACGCAGTCACCATAAACTGTGTTCCAGTCTCTAATCCTCTATATCGAGTGGCCATCGGGCCTTGTAGATGGCGAATATCATTGTAAAAATTAACTCGACTATGTATGTCGTCTGAAGAGGCTCTGTGATGCTGAATGTCTCCTTGTTTTTCTCAAGGACTTCATGCAATATGAGTTCTAGTTAAATATTTAAGAGCGTAGTCGTTAGAAATCGACAGACGCATAGTCTCCAACAGTTACAAAAATGTTGACAATGTACGAAGCCCGGGGGTCACTCGAGGTAGAGGTTTATGCTAATGGGTAGTTTATATGGATAGGAGGGGGAGATAACCGTCTAGATAAGTTCTAGATCTAACCGTTATCTTCTACGCATACCCCCATAAACTGTGTCCCTTACACTGTAACCGGCTTCTTCCCAAGAACAGCTACTTCTTGGAACCGACTCCCAAGAGGATGTTTCTCCGATCACTACAATCTTAACCTGTCCAGGTCTAGGGTTAATCGTTATTTATTACACATATCCTCTTAAATTCTGACTCTTATCCTGTAACCCTCTACTTCGTGGGGGACGCTACTTCGTGGGACCGACTCCCAAGAGGATGTTTCTCCGATCACTACAATCTTATCCTCTCCAGGTCTAGGGTTAACCATTATCTATTACACATAGTCGCTTAATTTCTGACTTATCCTGTAACCCTCTACTTCGCGGGTACAGCTACTTCCCATGAGGATCATTCTCCTCTCACTACAATCTTAACATGTCCAGGCGAACCGTTGTCTTCTGCACATATCCTCATAAACAGTGCTTCTTAACCTGTAGACGTCTACTTCGAGTTGCTCCCGGGTCTTGTACAATGTGAAAAACCTTTTAAAATATATATTTTTTAAATTCTTAAATAATTTTTTTCTATCATCATCTTCATCAAAACTGTTTCTTTTGAGGCCATGAATTAATATGTTCTCTCATCTTTACTGACATTGTCTACTGGTTTTATAATATTTTGCCAGCCTTCTCTGTCCTCTGCGAGTTTTTGGGTTCGTTTCAGATCTTTCTTAATTGTAAACGTCTCCAAATAAAAAGAGGGATCTTTCTGCCTTGTTCTTTGAATGTCTCCGTTCAGCGTTGTGATTAAGGTGGTTCCTGGATAACCACTGAACTTTTTGACGTCAGTCTTTTCAAAGTAAAACTCCATGGTTTATTTAGCCAGGAATTCTGGATCTATTCTCTTTGCTGACATTTGTAAACATTGAACTGCATGACACACACACAGTCTGACACTTTCCAACATCGATGTACATTATTTCTCCATTTACTCTTGACAACAAATCCAATTCCCTAACGTTTGCTTTCGTTCTCTAAACGTATCAGCTGGTGTTTGGTTTTTGCCGATGTTACCGTTCAAACCAGGGCCAATTTTTCATTTTCCGAATACTGTCTTTCTCAGTTTACAACGCCTTAAAGAATTAGTTACTTCGCGGCAGTAACTGGAGCCGCCATTACCAACACCGTCAATCTAATTTTTTCTACTCTATATTTATTGAATTGGAGATGTTAAAAGACAATTAAGATGAAAGAAATAATAGTAAAAAGTAACTGATAATACTTCTTTTTTTTTCAATAAACAATTCATCATTGAAAGAATGCTATCAGTGTAGATCAGAAATAAAAATTTATTGACAAATATCAAGTTAGAAATTGTGGTTACGTCATTGATAATCTGCGTGCTATTACGAGTTGAGAAAGCGTACAACATCAGTCGTACGCATTTATCAGTGACGTAAGCGTAGGGACAGGTAGGTTTCATTTCACCAACACTGCCTACGTCGTATATGATGACGTTGTTATTCTTGAACGCAGTCAGTCTCTCAGTAGAGGCCCTGGTACTAGGGTGTGTGAATGTGGTTAGAATAAAGGAAATCTATGATTGAATACGTCAAAAACCCAGACAAAGTCTAAATCAGAGCAACATATGTTGTCTCTTTATAACGAAAAGATGATTTACAACAGGAATCGAACCGAACAGACTTTAAATTTGCACCAGTTCTGACGACCGGTTGGTCTTTCAAACAAATGAGTTGGATTAATCTAATGGTGATGGCCGGGGCTACGGCTGTTCGGAAAACTCACTCTAATCGTTCTGATAAGAAAAGAATTCCCAAATGTGTTGGAGAGGGTCTCAAACCCAAAACGGAGGCCTACATCATGTGCCTTTAACGGGTAGTACTGCTCTGGCTCAAGAAGGCGACTGCTGAAAGTCTCTATATCTGCCAACAGGAATCTGTATTTTTTCACCCTTGGAATTGTGATCTGATGAATCAGGTAAAAACCACATACTTGGGCAAATAAATTATAATCAATGGACCGTTAAGGTTGTCTGTTATCTATTTAAATTGAAACAATAATTGCTCCTGTTTGACATTGAGCTCTCTGGATTACACCCTTCTTGGGATTATCCATACGGATTACCAAACTTTTCTTTACTTAACGTATATCGCAGTGGAAAGCAGGGCGGTTTCTTCACAGATGAAGCACGGGTTAAGGCAAGTGAAATATGGTTCTACAGAAAGATGCTGGGATTAACATGACCGGATCCCGACAACCACGATTATGTTTGAAGGAAAATACAACAAAAAGGTCTTTCTACTTAAAACCATATAAAGGTAGTTTATATTTCTGTAATTCATACTGAGGAAACATGTTTAGAAACATGAAAACGCAGAGGACATATTGAAGATCATAGGGACAGAAGATAACTTTGAGCAACCTACATATTCTAAAAATAAAGGCAATACATGAAATTGGAAATACAGTATAGAGTCAAACATTGATTAGCGCTACAAAGGATAGGAAGATGGGGAGATACATAATCACCGTTGTTCTAATGCGACAGTTCACATAGAATGATAACATTTAATATGTCTCATCGCATAGCAGATAAACTTCAGTGTTTTGTTTGGTAATTATTAAAATAGAATTTTGCTTAGCGCCAAATCAACAATTATGGTCTATTTAATACCGACATCTAAATATATTGAATACAATTTTATGGCTTCAACTAAATATAATTTGAATGCAAATGTATGCCTTTAATTACAGATAAAATCTGTTGTTCGTCATTTTGCTATAAAATTTGTTGTTGGTAATACTGCTTTAAAAATATATTGTTAGTTTTACTATAAATATGTATCGTTGATAATTTTATATGAAAATGTATTACTGGTATTTTTACTGTAATTTTTTTTTATTTTCATGGTGTTTGGGGGATCACTATTTGCCCTTAGTTGTGACCCTAACAGGTGCTAACACCCCGAGTCAGAGTAGACGTGGAAGCAACAACAATTAAGATGTGGTTCCACGCTCTTAAAAAACACCATTTTACCCGACCAAAGGCTTTGCTGCGGGATCTTGTTTGTCGTCATATACAGGACTGTTATGCACTTCGACGTGTTTTAATGGCTAGCAAGCTTGTTTTACTAGATCAGTTACGACTAAATAGTTAGTTCGATCCTTATTGGGTGCCCCACATTTTCGGCCTTGTGCCACATCTATGTTATACTTAGAAAATCAAGGGACTGTATTCTGATGAATAGTGCGAAACAAAATTATACTGTACATAGGATACAAACAGAGTGATTTTTCCAAAGAGTTTCATAATATTTTGTTTGAAGGTTCACTATTTTCCCATGTTTAAGACCCTAACAGGTACTACCACCCTAGGTCAGGGTGAGTTTCGATACAACAGCAATTAAGAGGACGTTCCACACATCTCAGAACCTTTAAATCTCCCCGATTAGAGGCCCTGCTGCCGGATGTAGTCTATCGTCATACCCAGGACTAATTCAAATTAAACTGTTATTTTGACCACATAGTCACGTAAGCTTAAAACGTTTGCTTTCCTGTCATGAGATCCGGGTTCGAATCGCACCATGGTTGATTTTCATGTCCGTGATTCCTTGATTTTATCGTTCTGGGGAGTTGATCCAAATGTTCGACTACTTTGGAAAATGTCTGAAAACCATGTTGACCCAAGACTTATGATTGAAATTGCTTATACGGAAAATGGTTGTGCTAGAACGAAATCAGAAGTCATCGTGACTGAGGCTTTGTGAGTAGCGATCAGAATGTCACATCAGATCATAGGCTTTCTACCTTGAACTGTAACTATATTCAGCTCAGAATAGGTGCAGTATCAAACACAAGAGAGTTCTAAGTGTTTTGAGACAAGCACAAATGTGACTGAGCAGCATCGGCAACATGGATTGGCTAACCACCATAGCAAACAGCCATAATCGGATACAAGCTGTTGACTATTATTATAATTATTATTATTTCCTTAGATTTCCGTTATATACACGTTTTTTCCCGGGCCCCAACCAAAGATCTAAGCGCTTTCAGTACTTTTTCCATTGATCATTTTGTAAAAAAAAATAAAAACAAAAAAACAAAAAACTACGATCACATGCATTTTACATATATAAAGTTCTTCGTAATGTGCGAACTGTACTTGTGAGTATTATTTTTTGTATTTATTTAAGGCAAGGGCTACAAAGGATCCTTTCAATGTGTCTATCCTTTCAATGTGGCTATCCTTTCAATGTGTCTATTCTTTCAATGTGTCTATCCTTTCAATGTGGTGCCTATTCTTTTAATGTGTCTATCCTTTCAATGTGCTATCTATTTCAATGTGTCTATTCTTTCAATGTGTCTATCCTTTCAATGTGTCTATCCTTTCAATGTGTCTATTTTTTCAATGTGTCTATTCCTTTCAATGACTTTAATTGTCTATCCTTTCAATGTGCCTATTCTTTTTAATTATTCAATGTTTTCTTTTGTGTCTATCCTTTCAATGTGTCTATCCTTTCAATACTTTTAATGTGTCTATCCTTTCAATGTGTCTATCCCAATGTGCCTATTTCAATTTCAATTCATTCTATCCTTTCAATGTGTCTATCCTTTCAATGTGTCTATCCTTTCAATGTGTCTATCCTTTCAATGTGTCTATTCTTTCAATGTGCCTATCCTTTCAATGTGTCTATCCTTTCAATGTGTCTATCCTTTCAATGTGTCTATTCTTTTAATGTGTCTATCCTTTCAATGTGTCTATCCTTTCAATGTGTCGTGTCTATCCTTCAATGTGTCTATTCTTTCAATGTGTCTATTCTTTCAATGTGTCTATTCTTTAATGTGTCTATCCTTTCAATGTGTCTAAAACTTTCAATGTGTATCCTTCAATGTGCCTATCCTTTCAATGTGTCTATTCATTTCAATGTGTCTATCCTTTCAATGTGTCTATCCTTTCAATGTGTCTATTCTTTCAATGTGTCTATGTCTTTCAAGTCTATATCCTTTCAATTTATTTCTATTCTTTCAATGTGTCTATCCTTTCAATGTGTCTTTCAATCCTATTCTTTCAATGTGTCTATCCTTTCAATGTCTATCCTTTCAATGCCTTTCAATCTCTTCAATGTGCCTATCCTTTCAATGTGTCTATCCTTTCAATGTGTCTATCCTTTCAATGTGTCTATCCTTTCAATGTGCCTATCCTTTCAATGTGTCTATCCTTTCAATGTGTCTATTCTTTCAATGTGTCTATCCTTTCAATGTGTCTATCCTTTCAATGTGTCTATCCTTTCAATGTGTCTATCCTTTCAATGTGTCTATTCTTTCAATGTGCCTATTCTTTTAATGTGTCTATGCCCATCTTTCAATATTCCTTTCAATGTGCCTATCCTTTCAATGTGTCTATCCTTTCAATGTGTCTATCCTTTCAATGTGTCTATCCTTTCAATGTGTCTATTCTTTCTATTCTTTCAATGTGTCTATCCTTTCAATGTGTCTATCCTTTCAATGTGTCTTTATTCTTTCAATGTGCCTATTCTTTTTATCCTTTCAATGTGTCTATCCTTTTCAATGTGCCTATCCTTTCAATGTCTATCTATTCTTTCAATGTCTATCTTTTTCAATGTCTATTCTTTAATGTGCCTATCCTTTCTATGTGTCTATCCTTCAATGTGTCTATCCTCAATCTATTCTTTCAATGTGTCTATCCTTTCAATGTGTCTATTCCTTTCAATGTATTCAATGCCTTTAATGTGTCTATCCTTTCAATGTCCTCAATTCTATTCTTTTAATGTCCTATCCCTATCCTTTCAATGTGTCTATTTCAATGTGATGTGCCTATCCTTTCAATGTGGCTATCCTTTCAATGTGTCTATTCTTTCAATGTGTCTATCCTTTCAATGTGTCTATTCTTTCAATGTGTCTATTCTTTTAATGTGTCTATCCTTTCAATGTGCCTATCCTTTCAATGTGTCTATCCTTTCAATGTGTCTATCCTTTCAATGTGTCTATCCTTTCAATGTGCCTATTCTTTTAATGTGTCTATCCTTTCAATGTGCCTATCCTTTCAATGTGTCTATTCTTTCAATGTGTCTATCCTTTCAATGTGTCTATCCTTTCAATGTGTCTATCCTTTCAATCAATGTCTCTTTATTCCTTCAATCTTTCAATGTCTATCCTTTCAATGTGCCTATCCTTTCAATGTGGCTATCCTTTCAATGTGTCTATTCTTTCAATGTGTCTATCCTTTCAATGTGTCTATTCTTTCAATGTGCCTATTCTTTTAATGTGTCTATCCTTTCAATCCTTTCAATGTGTCTATTCTTTCAATGTGTCTATCCTTTCAATGTGTCTATTCTTTCAATGTGCCTATTCTTTTAATGTGTCTATCTTTTCAAATGTTTCTATCCTTTCAATGTGTCCTATATCCTTTCAATGTGCCTATCCTTTCAATGTGTCTATTCTTTCAATGTGCCTATTCAATGTGTCTATCCTTTCAATGTGTCTATCCTTTCAATGTGGCTATCCTTTCAATGTGTCTATTCTTTCAATGTGTCTATCCTTTCAATGTGTCTATTCTTTCAATGTGTCTATTCTTTTAATGTGTCTATCCTTTCAATGTGCCTATCCTTTCAATGTGGCTATCCTTTCAATGTGTCTATTCTTTCAATGTGTCTATCCTTTCAATGTGTCTATTCTTTCAATGTGTCTATCTTTCAATGTGTCTATCCTTTCAATGTGTCTATTCTTTCAATGTGTCTATTCTTTCAATGTGTCTATCCTTTCAATGTGTCTATCCTTTCCTTTCAATGTGTCCTTTCAATGTGTCTATTCTTTCAATGTGTCTATTCTTTCAATGTGTCTATCCTTTTCTGCCCTATCCTTTGTCTATTCTTTCAATGTTTCTATTCTTTCTATTTGTGTGTGTCTATCCTTTCAATGTGGCTATCCTTTCAATGTGTCTATTCTTTCAATGTGTCTATCCTTTCAATGTGTCTATTCTTTCAATGTGTCTATCCTTTCAATGTGTCTATCCTTTCAATGTGTCTATTCTTTCAATGTGTCTATCCTTTCAATGTGTCTATCCTTTCAATGTGCCTATCCTTTCAATGTGTCTATTCTTTCAATGTGCCTATCCTTTCAATGTGTCTATTCTTTCAATGTGTCTATTCTTTCAATGTGTCTATCCTTTCAATGTGCCTATCCTTTCAATGTGTCTATTCTTTTAATGTGTCTATCCTTTCAATGTGTCTATCCTTTCAATGTGTCTATCCTTTCAATGTGCCTATCCTTTCAATGTGTCTATCCTTTCAATGTGTCTATTCTTTCAATGTGCCTATCATTTCAATGTGTCTATTCTTTCAATGTGTCTATCCTTTCAATGTGTCTATCCTTTCAATGTGTTCCTTTCAATGTGTCTATCCCAATGTGTCTATCCTTTCAATGTGTCTATCCTTTCAATGTGTCTATTCTTTTAATGTGTCTATCCTTTATCCTTTCAATGTGGCTATTCTTTCAATGTGTCTATTCTTTCAATGTGTCTATCCTTTCAATGTGCCTATTCTTTCAATGTGTCTATTCTTTCAATATCCTTTCAATGTGTCTATTCTTTCAATGTGTCTATCCTTTCAATGTGTCTATCCTTTCAATCTATTCTTTCAATGTGTCTATCCTTTCAATGTGTCTATATCCTTTTCTATCTATTTCAATGTGTCTATTCTTTCAATGCTATCCTTTCTATCCTTCAATGTGTCTATCCTTTCAATGTGTCTATCCTTCAATGTGTCTATTCCTTTCAATGTGTCTATTCTTTCAATGTGTCTTTCAATCCTTTCAATGTCTATTCTTTTAATGTATCCTTATTCTTCAATGTGTCTATCCTTTCAATGTGCCTATCCTTTCAATGTGTCTATTCTTTCAATGTGTCTATCCTTTCAATGTGTATCCTTTCAATGTGTCTATTCTTTCAATGTGTCTATCTTTCTATATCCTTTCAATGTGTCTATTTCCTATCCTTTCAATGTGTCTATCTTTCAATGTGTCTATTTTCAATGTGTCTATCCTATTCTTTCAATGTGTCTATTCTTTTAATGTGTCTATCCTTTCAATGCCTATCCTTCAATGTGTCTATCCTTTCAATGTGTCTATCCTTTCAATGTGTCTTTCAATTGTCTATTCTTTCAATGTGTCTATTCTTTCAATGTGTCTATCTTTCTTTCAATGTGTCTATCCTTTCAATGTGTCTATTCAATGTGTCTATTTCAATGTGTCTATCCTTTCAATGTGCCTATCCTCAATTCTATCCTTTCAATGTGTCTATCCTTTCAATGTGTCTATCCTTTCAATGTCTATTCTTTCAATGTCTATCCTTCAATGTGTCTATTCTTTCAATGTGTCTATCCTTTCAATGTGTCTATTCTTTCAATGTGTCTATCCTTTATCTTTCAATGTGTCTATCCTTCAATGTGCCTATTCTTTCCAATGCGTCTATCTTTCATTCAATCTATGTGTATCTTTCAATGTGTCTATTCTTTCAATGTGCCTATTCTTTCAATGTGTCTATCCTTTCAATGTGGCTATCCTTTCAATGTGTCTATTCTTTCAATGTGTCTATCCTTTCAATGTGTCTATTCTTTCAATGTGCCTATTCTTTTAATGTGTCTATCCTTTTTTATCCTTTCAATGTGTCTATTCTTTTTCGTCCTATCCTATCCTTTTCAATGTGTCTATCCTTTCAATGTGTCTATTCTTTCAATGTGCCTATTCTTTTTCAATGTGTCTATCCTATCCTTTCAATGTGCTATCCTTTCAATGTGTCTATTCTTTTCAATGTGTCTATCCTTTCAATGTTCTATCCTTCAATGTGTCTATTCTTTGCCAATGTGTCTATCCTTTTTCAATGTGTCTATTCTTCTTTTCGCCTAATGTGTCTATCCTTTCAATGTGTCTATCCTTTCAATGTGTCTATCCTTTCAATCCTTTCAATGTGTCTATCCTTTCAATGTGTCTATCCTTTCAATGTGTCTATTCTTTCAATGTGTCTATTCTTTCAATGTGTCTATTCTTTCAATGTGTACCTATCCTTTCAATGTGTCTATTCTTTCAATGTGTCTATCCTTTCAATGTGTCTATCCTTTCCTATTCTTTCAATGTGTCTATCCTTTCAATGTGTCTATCCTTTCAATCAATCCTTTCAATGTGTCTATTCTTTTTCAATGTACCTATCCTTTCAATGTACTTTCATTGTCTATTCTTTCAATGTGTTTAAATGTGTCTATCCTTTCAATGGTGTCTATTCTTTCAATGTCCTTTCAATGTGTCTATCCTTTCAATGTGTCTATCCTTTCAATTCTTTCAATTCTTGTCTATTCTTTCAATGTGTCTATCCTTTCAATTTCAATGTGTCTATTCTTCAATGTGCCTATTCAATGTGTCTGCCTATCCTTTCAATGTGTCTATTCTTTCAATGTGCCTATATCTTCTAATGTGTCTCTTTATCCTATTCAATGTGTCTATCCTTTCAATGTCCTTCTATCCTTTCAATGTGTCTATCCTTTCAATGTGTCTTTATTCTTTCAATGTGTCTATTCTTTCAATCCTTTCAATGTGTCTATTCTTTCAATGTGCCTATCTATCCTTTCAATGTGTGTCTATCCTTTATCTATCCTTTCAATGTGTCTATTCTATTCATTTCAATGTCATATCCTTTCAATGTGTCTATCTTTCAATGTGGCTATCCTTTCAATTTCAATATTTTTTCAATGTCTATCCTTTCAATGTGTCTATTCTTTTCAATGTGTCTATTCTTTTCAATGTGTCTATCTTTCAAATTTCTATCCTTTCAAATGTGTCTATTCTTTTAATGTCTATCCTTTCAATGTCTATCCTTTCAATGTAGCTATCCTTCCTTTCAATGTGTCTATTCTTTATGTCTATCCTTTCAATGTGTCTATCCTTTCAATGTCTATCCTTTCAATGTGTCTATTCTTTCAATGTGCCTATTTTTTTCTATCCTTTCAATGTATCCTTTCAATGTGTCTATTCTTTGTGTCTATTCTTTCAATGTGTCTATCCTGCCTATTCAATGTCTATTCTTTTAATGTCTATTCTTTCAATGTGCCTATCCTTTCAATGTGTCTATCCTTTCAATGTTCAATGTGTCTATTCAATGTATATCCCTTTCAATTCTATCTTCTTTCAATGTGTCTATCCTTTCAATGTGTCTATTCTTTCAATGTGTCTATTCTTTCAATGTGTCTATCTATCCTTTCAATGTGTCTATCTTTCAATGTCTATCCTTTCAATGTCTATTCTTTATGGCCCATTCTTTCAATGTGCCCCTATTGTGTCTATCCTTTCAATGTGCCTATCCTTTTATGGCCATCCTTCAATGTCCTATTTCAATGTACCTATCCTTTATCCTCTATTTTCAATGTGTCTTTATTCTTTCAATGTGTCTATTCTTTCAATGTACCTATCTTTCAATGTGTCTTCAATCCTTTCAATGTGTCTATTCTTTCTATCCTTAATGTGTCTATGTGCCTATTCATGTGGCTATCCTTTCAATGTGTCTATTCCATCTTTCAATGTTCTTTCTTTCAATGTGTCTATTCTTTTAATGTGTCTATCAATGTGTCTATTCTTTCAATGTGCCTATCCAATGTTCAATGTGCCCTATCCTTTCAATGTGTCTATTCTTTCAATGTTTCAATGTGTCTATTCTTTTATGTGTGTGTGTCTATTCTTTCAATGTGTCTATCCTTTCTATGTCTTTCAATGTGTCTATTCTTTCAAATGTGTCTATTCTTTCAATGTGTGTATCCTTTCAATGTGTCTATTCTTTCAATGTGTCTATCCTTTTTCAATGTGTCTATCCTTTCAATGTGTCTATTCTATTCTTTCATCCTTTCAATGTGTCTATTCTTTCAATGTGTCTATCCTTTCAAATGTGTCTATCCTTTCAATGTGCCTATCCTTTCAATGTGTCTATTCTTTCAATGTGGTCTATTCTTTATCTATTCTTTTAATGTGTCTATCCTTTATGCCTATCCTTTCAATGTCCTTTCTATCCTTTCAATGTGTCTATTCTTTCAATGTCTATCCTTTCAATGTGTCTATTCTTTAAATGTGTCTATCTTTCAATGTTTTTTCAACTTTCCATTCTTTAATGTGTCTATCCTTTCAATGTGTCTATTCTTTCTATCTATCAATTTCAATGTGTCTTCTTTCCTTTCAATGTGTCTATCCTTTCAATGTGTCTATTCTTTCAATGTGTCTATCCTTTTCAATGTCAATGTCTTATTCTTTCAATGTGTCTATTCTTTCAATGTGTCTATCCTTTCAATGTGTCTATTCCTTTCAATGTCTATCCTTTGTCTATCCTTTCAATGTGCAATGTGTCTATCCTTTCAATGTGTGCCTATCCTTTATCCTTTTCAATGTGTCTATCCTTTCAATGTTTCTATCTTTATTCCTTTCAATGTGTCTATTCTTTCAATCTATCCTTTTTCTAATGTGTCTTTATTCTATCCTTTCAATGTGTCTATTCTTTATTGCGTCTATTCTTTCAATGTGTCTATTCTTTCAATGTGTCTATCCTTTCTATCCAAGTATCCTATCAATGTGGCTTTTTCAATGTGTCTATTCTTTCCTATGTCTATTCTTTCAATGTGCCCTATTCTTTCAATGTCTATCCTTTCAATGTGCCTATTCTTTCAATAGGTCTATTCTTTTCAATGTCTCTATTCTTTCAATGTGCCTATCCTTTCAATGTGTCTATTCTTTTAATGTCTAATCTTTCAATGTCCTCTATTCTTTCAATCCATTTTCATTTTAATAATGTCTATCCTTTCAATGTGTCTATCCAATGTGCCTTTCAATGTGTCTATCCTTTTAAATGTGTCTATCCTTTCAATGTGCCTATCTTCAATTTATCCTTTCAATGTGTCCTTTATCCTATTCATTTCAATGTGTCTTTATCCTTTCAATGTGCCTATCCTTTCAATGTGTCTATCCTTTCAATGTGTCTATTCTTTCAATGTGTCTATTCCTTTCAATGTGTCTATCCTTTCAATGTGTCTATCCTTCAATGTGTCTATCCTTTCAATGTGTCTATTCTTTCAATACCTATTCTTTCAACCTATCCTTTCTATCCTTTCAATGTGTCTATTCATCCTTTCAATGTGTGCCTATCCTTTCAATGTATCCTTTCAATGTGTCTATCTATTCTATTCTTTCAATGTGTGTGTCTATCCTTTTTCAATGTGTCTATCCTTTCAATGTGTGTATATCCTTTCAATGTCTATCCTTTGTCTATTTTCAATCCTCCTTTCAATGTGGCTATCTTTCTTCAATGTGTCTATCCTTTCAATGTGTCTATCTTTTCAATGTGTCTATCCTTTATCTATCCTTTCAATGTGTCTATTCTTTCAATGTGTCTATCCTTTCAATGTGTCTATCCTTTATCTATCCTTTCAATCCTATTCTTTCAATGTGTCTATCCTTTCAATGTGTCCTATTCATTCCTATCCTTTCAATGGGCTATCATTTCAATGTGGCTATCCTTTCAATGTCTGTTCTTTTCAATATTTCAATGTGTCTATCCTTCAATGTGCCTATTCTTTCAATGTGTCTATCCTTTCAATGTGTCTATCTTTCCCAATGTGTCCTTTCAATGTGCCTATCCTTCAATGTGCCTATCCTTTCAATGTGTCTATCCTTTCAATGTGTCTATTCTTTTCAATGTGCGTCTATCCAATGTGTCTATTTTCAATGTGCCTATTCTTTCAATGTGTCTATCCTTCAATGTGCCTATCCTTTCAATGTGCCTATCTTATCTTTCAATGTGCCTATTCTATTTAATGTGTCTATTTTTCAATGCGTCTATCCTTTCTATTCAATCAATGTCTATCCTTTCAATGTCTATTCTTTCAATGTGTCTATTCTTTCAATGTGTCTTTCAATGTATCCTTTCAATTCTTTCAATGTGTGTTTCTATTCTATATCCTTTCAATGTGTCTTTTTCCTTTCAATGTGCCTATTCTTTCAATGTGTCTATCCTTTCAATGTGTCTATTCTTTCAATGTGTCTATTCTTTTAATGTGTCTATCCTTTCAATGTGTCTATCCTTTCAATGTGTCTATCCTTTCAATGTGTCTATCCTTTCAATGTGTCTATCCTTTCAATGTGTCTATTCTTTCAATGTGCCTATCCTTTCAATGTGTCTATCCTTTCAATCCTTTCAATGTGTCCTATTTTTCTTTCCTTTCAATGTGGCTATCCTTTCAATGTGTCTATCCTTTCCAATGTGTCTATCCTTTCAATGTGCCTATTCTTTCAAATCCTTTAAAATGTGCCTATTCTTTTTTAATGAGTCTATCCTTTCAATGTGTCTATCCTTTCAATGTGTCCTATCCTTTCAATTGTCTATCCTTTCAATGTGTCTATTCTTTCAATGTGTCTATCCTTTATTCTATCCTTTCAATGTCTATTCTTTCAATGTGTCTATCCTTTCAATGTCTATTCTTTCTTTCAATGTGTCTATCCTTTCAATGTGTCTATCCTATCTTCTTTCAATGTGTCTATCCTTTCAATGTGTCTATTCTTTCAATGTATCTATCCTTTCAATGTGTCTATCCTTTCAATGTGCCTATTCTTTCAATGTTTCTATCCTTTCAATGTGTCCTATTCCTTTCAATGTTCTATCCTTTCTCTATTATTTCAATGTGCCAAATTCATCCTTTCAATGTATCTGTCTATCCTTTTAATGTGTCTATCCTTTCAATGTGCCTATCCTTTCAATGTGGCTATCCTTTCAATGTGTCTATTCTTTCAATGTGTCTATCCTTTCAATGTGTCTATTCTTTCAATGTCTATTCTTTTAATGCGTCTATCCTTTCCTTATCCTTTCAATGTGCCCATCTATCCTTTCAATGTGCCTATCCTGCCTATCCTTTCAATGTAGCTATCCTTTCAATGTGTCTATTCTTATATCCTCAATCCTCAATGTCCTTTCAATGTATATCCTTTCAATGTGCCTATCCTTTCAATGTGTCTATCCTTTATCTATCTTTCAATGTGTCTATTCTTTTTCAATGTGTCTATTCTTTTCAATGTGCCTATCCTTTCAATGTGTCTATCCTTTCAATGTCTATCTATCCTTTCAATGTCCATCCCTATCCTATTCTTTCAATGTGTCTATCCTTTCAATGTGTCTATCCTTTCAATGTGTCTATCCTTTCAATGTGTCTATCCTTTCAATGTGCCTATCCTTTCAATGTGTCTATCCTTTCAATGTGTCTATCCTTTCAATGTGCCTATTCTTCCTATTTCAATGTCTATGTATCCTATCCTTTCAATGTGTCTATCCTTTCAATGTGTCTATCCTTCCAATGTGTCTATCCTTTCAATGTGACTATCCTTTCAATGTGTCTATCCTTTCAATGTGTCTATCCTTTCAACTGTCATTGATGATTTGAGTTTTGGTTTGTATTTCAATGTGTCTATTTTTTAAGTCTATCCTTTCATCCTTCCAATGTGTCCTAAATGTGATATCCTTTCAATTGCAACTGTCAATAAGGAGTTTGTATTTTAAGATCATTATTGCAGTGTTATTATTATTATTATTATTATTATTATTATTATTATTTTGTTTTCCGGTTACATGTTGTTCCAATTCTTACTGTAGCACCGGCTAGAAGTGATCAACTGATGTGGATATTGTTGATGGTAAAAGCTTTTTGTTTATGATTGTGTAGCGTCAGTTTAAATGGATATGTCGAATGGTCGTCTTCTTCTGTGTGTATTGTGAAATCCCATAAAATTGTTACAGGTATTATTATTATTATTATTATTATTATTATTATTTCTTTTGATTTCTGGTGTATACTCATTTCTTTCCGGGTCCCAACCAGATATTTTCCACTGACAAAAAACAAAAACAAAAAAAAACAAAAAAAAAATACAAACCCATCCAAAAAACAAAAAAGCCCCCAAAACCATATTTTACATGGATAAAGCCCTTCGTAATGTGTGGACTGTACTTATGAGAACAATTTTTTTCTACATCTTTAAGGCATGGCCTATCAGGTATTCCTTCAATGAGACTATTGGAATCTTTTCCAATCAACCCGAGGGCTGCAGCTTCAACTGGCAGTGTTGATGTTTTACATGTGCCACATTTTGAGATTTTCATATCAAGGTTCTTGTATTTTGATAGCTTATTTGATAATCTTCAAAGATACATTGCACCCAACAAGGGCTGTCATATCAATAGAAGACATTTTGTTTTGTATTTGCGGTCTCTAATCACGCTATCTGAGCAATTAGCTGTCATTTTCTGTGTTTATTGAGAAGTCCCATAAAATTATTACAGATTCTTTTCTGCATAAATGGATCTGGGTGGTGTTCATAATAATTTTTTGGGTATTTTCTTCCGTTGTACTGTTTTTTATATTCAGTTGGGGCTAATAAAGCGCTACTTAATACAAGATGGTCAATTATTTCTGGATATTTATCACAGAATGTGCATTTTGGACTAACCCAATATTTCAGTATGTGTGCTTGATATTTTCTAGTTAACAAGCCTTGGTCCTGTGCAACAAGTATAAAACATTCAGTTTCAGCTTTTAACCCTGCATTTCGTAGCCACTGATGGGTTCGGGGTTTGTCTATATCGGCTTGATTGGTACGGGCAGAGTATTGACCGTGAAGAGGTTTATTTTACCATCGTGTCTGTATCTTGTCGATTGTATTTACCGTTACTTTCTTTTTTTTAAGTATTTTGCATCTTCGTTCGGTGTATTATGCTTTACTTGTATTTCTTCACCCATGTAAAACACTATTTTGAACTTGTTGGCTTCTTTTATTACTGAATAAAGTCGCTTACTACCTTCATGTTTCTTGACACGTATCGTCATCCAATGTTCTGTAGTTTGCAGGTATCTTTGCCGGCCAATTGTTTTGGTTTTGTAAGACAGTTCTATTTGAACTAATCCTCTGCCTCCTTCGGAGTCGAATACTGTTCTGCCCGGGGTTTCCTTGGGACTACGATAGCCGGGATGCAACGAGAAAATAAAAAAGTAAATAAATAAATAAACGAGAGTATCCCAGAGTTCAATGTAAGATTGATGAAATGAACGATGGGAGGGGAATTCTCCAATTCCGGACGTCGCTGAACGCAGTGAGAAAACGAACAATATGCAGATACATAACAACAGAAGACGACAGGAGAACATATAATAAAAATACTTTATTTATAAAATATAAAATGTATTAAATTAAAGAAAACAAAACTAAAGAGTAAAAGGGATGAGGGGACAATTGGTTGATCAAATATATATATCACTGCGACGAAATACAGACAAAAATAGTGACAACAGATTATAGAATATATAAACATGTAAAGACTTAGAAATTATACTGATCGACGTCGATTGATTGTTATCAGAAATAAAGTTCGAAAGAAAAGATTTTCATTCAATTCTCTGAGCGTAAATGTGGAGTTGCTAATGTCCAGATATATGTCCTTGATGAACGCCGTTCAATCCTTGCCGAGGGCGAGCAGTATACGCAGATAAACCACAGGAGTATAGACGAATTAGGTTTGAGAATGCCGTTCAGGATTCTTTCGTCGGTCATTTGATTCTTGGTGACGTCCGATTCCTCTGAAAGCAAACAGCTACGTCCAATTTTGGTGACGTCCGATTCCTCTGAAAGCAAACAGCTACGTCCAATTTTGGTGACGTCCGATTCCTCTGAAAGCAAATAGCTAAGTTCAATTTTGGTGACGTCCGATTTCTCTGAAAGCAAACAGCTAAATTCAATTTTGGTGACGTCCGATTCCTCTGAAAGCAAATAGCTAAGTTCAATTTTGGTGACGTCCGATTCCTCTGAAAGCAAACAGCTGTGAAGTTGTTATATCCCAACACGCGCGAAAAAACCGTTAGGGGTTAACTCACGTGTTGGCATATGAAAGTGAGTAGGCATTATCCATTAAACACTATTAGGGTCACTAGTACTTATCAGACAAGCAGCGTTCGTCTGGCCTGAGACCAGACAGGAAGTGGGGAAAAAGAAGGTTATCTTCCAAGAACTGGCTTTAGTTTAACCGGGTACCAAAAAAATTCCATAATCTGCATATTCAAAGAAATAAAGAGACGACTCTTATTCTCGTATCTCGTCGCAAATATGTAAGGTATTATAAATATACTTGTAAAATCTAAGGTAGGGGTGCATTTATTGGTCTATCGTAACAATACATACAGACGATCAACGTCAGCTTTGGAATGATGCATGCGGTGGCAGCTGAGATTTTTTTTCATTTTGGCGTCTATTCGTTTAATATCAGCTTTGGTCAAATTAAGGATGTTGAAACTGTATTGCACCACAGGGACTGCCTAGGTGTTTATGGCTGATATTCTGATTTTTGTATTCATCTCGTTATCCAGTAACAGACGGACACGCCCGTAGTATTCCTCTCTTACATTCTACGAATTCATTAGACCTACAAATTCAAAAAGATTTTTTTTTGAATTTGTAGGTCTAATGAATTGGATCGTAATTGCGATTCCAATGTAATACATGATAACCATGGAATATTAGTGCTTGAGCCTTTTATATTATATTCTTGCTCTATCCTGGACATTGAGCTCTACCTGGATTCTATCCTCTTGGGAATTTATATATATATATATATATATATATATATATATATATATATATATATATATATATTTGGTTGGATAGATGTGAGTTTGTATAAATATATAAATAATTATGCACATATATATATTTATTTATATTTATATATACACACACACACACATATATATTTATATATATATATATATATATATTTATATATATATATATATATATATATATATATATATATCACTAATGTTATATATATATATATATAACATTAGTGATAAAAATATATATATATATATTTATCACTAATGTTATATATATATAACATTAGTGATAAGTATATATATATATATATATATGATATTATATATATATATATATATATATATATATATATATATATATATATATATATATACATTGTAAAATTTTTTTCATCAGAAAGAACCGATTTCTGGCTTTTTAAGATTAATTGTATTTTTCTATGTTTCGAATATGGTGTTGTGTATTGTGATCAAAGTCATGGATAACCTGTGCAAATTCATGTTGGGTTTCTGCTTTATTCATATTGCTCTAATCGTGCTTTGACCACACGCTACTAAATATTGCTTTTCACGGCTGACCTGTTTGCAGAATGCAATCGAAGTGTGAATACAATTGTGCAATAAAGTCTTGTGCTTGCAGACATTTGTTAGGGAAACTGTTCTTCACCTTCCCTATAATCCAGGCCTTTCTCCCTTTGACGTCAGTTTGTTACCCATGCCGAATGAGAAGTACAGTGGAAGTCGTTTTGAAGCTATTTAGAAGATGAAGGAGGCTGTGACATGGATCCTGTGCAGCTTCACTATGAAAGACATCTATGTTACATTCTCAAATTGACTATAGCGCTACAAATGCATTGAAATCAGAAGGACTCACTTTGCAGTTGTTCAGAGTTTTGTGGTTCTTTGAAAATAATAACCGTCTCTCCTGAAAAAGTTTTTTTTTTATTTTTAAATTCTGGAAAACAATATAGAATGTATCGATTTCATTTTTCAATTTATCCAAATATTTGTCAGATTTTAATGAACCTTTCAGGAATTATTAAAAAATGAATGAATTTATTCTAGTAATGATTTTTTTTTCTTAGAAAATCTTTGCTCAAAATATTTAGTACAGATTACAATCCAAAAATATATTTCATCATTAACTAAACCACAATGGGTTGACAAACCGTAAAAAAAATCAACTAATAAATATTGTATTTATTTCGATTAATGAAGAGATTTCTGTTCGACTCACATTTTGCAAAAAAATATTGGCAATGATAGATGTTCCCTTATAAGGAAACATTCGTTATTCACTGGTCGATCAGCCTATTAAAACAATTTTTCAATAAAATGGGTTTTTCTAGTCCAGTATATACATAGGCTTCCATTCTAATCTTTTGTTTGAAGTAGTGTGAAACGTCAACAGTTTGATTATGTCATTATTTTCTCGTCAAAATGTACCATATCATCTGCGTAGCACACATACACTATTTCCCATACCTGCACCCTGGAGAAGCCGCTCTATTTTCACCGACTAACGGACTGAATTTTCATCAAACAGGCCGCTAAATTTATCTCAAGAGATAAACGGACGCCCACTATAAATGGAAAAAATTTTAGCTGCTGCTGCTGTCATCACGTGATGTGTTTTTGTCTTTATTTAGTACAGATTTTTGTGAATCTGTCGCGACTGTCTCCGAAATTTCAAAGAAAAATGATCCTTGTTTAGACCTACAGATTTCATTCGCTGGAAGACATTTTAACCACTGATCTAAGAAATTTTTTTCT